TTGACCACTAACTTAGAAATTACTGAGGGAAAAGAAAATATAGTCTATTTACGCCCAGAAACTTGTCAAGGAATATTTGTTAACTTTCCATCTATTCAAAGAAGTGCACGCCGACAACTGCCTTTTGGTATTGGCCAAATAGGCAAGAGTTTTCGGAATGAAATTACTCTCCATCACGGAATTTTCCGCACCCGCGAATTCGAGCAGTTGGAGTTAGAATTTTTTTGTCAGAAAGAGGAAAGTGAAAAATGGTGAAATTATTGAACGGAAAAAGCCTGAAATTTCCTCCAAAATATTATTGTCAATGACCAAAAAAAACTCAAACAAGTAGACTTGAAAAATGAAGAACTACCCCATTATGCTAAAAAAACCCAAGACCTTTATTTTCAATACCATTTCGGTTGGGGAGAAGTATGTAGCAATAGCCACCGCGGCAATTACGACTTATCTCAGCACAGTCAACATTCCGGAAAAGATTTTCGGATTAATGGAATTATTCCCGAAGTAGTGGAAAGTTCTTTTGGAGTAGAAAGATTAATGTTAGCCATATTAGAAGACAGTTATCAGAAAGAAACCATAAAAAATTCTCAGGGCGAGGAAAGCGAAAGAGAAGTATTGAAATTATCTCCGCTGTTAGCACCCTATTTTGTGGCAGTAATTCCTTTGGAAAAGTCTTTACGAGAAAAATCCCACCAGTTATATTGCGAATTATTGAAAAATCCTCTTTTTTCAGTTGCTTATGAAGAAACTGGCAATATTGGCAATCGCTATCGCCGCCAAGATGCCATTGGCACCTATTATTGTCTCACGCTTGATAAGCAAACGCTCCAAGACCACACAGTTACCCTCCGCCACCGTGATAGTATGAAACAAGAAGCGGACAGGATAAGCATCACCAACCTTAAAATTTATTTAAATAGTCTATATGAAAAGCACTGACAGAAATTTATCACCAAATAAGAAAAAAGAGCAAGGTAGTGACACCTTACTTTATATTCTTTTGCTCATGTTGGTTGCTTTATTAGTTGGTGGTTTAGCGTGACATTTCTGACCTACTAATAGTAACCAAGAAAAAGAATGAGAAAATTGTTACGAAAAAGAATTAGGAAAATTTTCAGCTTCTCCCACGGCTAATGAGGTTATTAAATTAATCCAAGGCAATCGAAATCGTCACAAAACTGCAAAAAGAATTTTTGCAGGTGAAATGCGAGGACGAGTCTTGACTGACAAGGAAAAGAAAGAAGTGAAAAAAGATTTAGATAGTTTTAATAAGGAATGGGCAAAACTTTTGCATGGTCTCGAAATAGAAGTTATTGAAAAAGAAAGTCCGGCCTTTTTAGCCAAGCTCTATTCTGAACTTTATGAACAAGGTAAAGTAACCACCAGACTGAAACATAATACCTCAGTTAGTCGTCCCCTAGAAGAATTAAGAAAACAAGAACAAATTCAAAAAGTGTGGGATATTCCAGACCAAGAGGCTGAGTTAATAAAAGATGAAGTTGATAAATGAATTAGGAAATGATATAAACAGGCGGAAAAAGAATTAATTGGTAATGAACTAGGAAAGTATCCACCTTTGAAAGAATTTGTGGTGCCAATATATCATAAGGGGGAAAAGGTTACTAAACTTACCCCTGAACTAATTAATGAATATAAAACAGAAGTGGAATTTGAGGAAAAAGATGGGACAAATAAAATCATCGACTACGGTATGCCTTTAAAAATTGAATTTGATGGCTATAGTGGATTCTTGACCGAAGAGGAAAAAAAGAATTCGGGCGAGGGTAAGGAAACCTTTGGATTAACCACATCTACTGGTACAAACTTTATTTACAACCCAAAACATAAGGTAAAATTAGATGAAAAAACCAATGAACCAGTAGAGGGTTCATTAATTCCGCGGGACTACTATTTAGTTAAAGCAATTTGTAACAACTTTCGCGACATAAAGATTGGATTTGAAAAGAAAATGTTTTTCAATCGATTAGGTTATGAAGAATGATTATCGGAGGTCGATGATAAAGGTACTCGGATTTATTTTGATATTTGTTTCGAAGAATGTTTAGAAACCATGGCTCACGAATTGGCTCATGCGATAATTAACACCTTTGAGGGAGATTATAAGGGGGAAGAAGGAGGAGGTCACGGAAAACTTTTTTATGAGATAATGGAAAAGATTATAAAAATGATTAAAAATTCTCCTGATTTTTCGGACTTTAAAACTTGGTGAGAAAAGGCAGAAAAGGAACAGAAAGAATTGGCAATCGGCAGTATTAAAGTTGATAAGCAAAGTCATTGGGATGAATGAAAATATTGATATATTAGTGGAGGGGTGTTAGTATTAGCAATTGGAATTGGGTTAGTAGTAGTGTTTTGAGATACCGGTTCGAAAAAAAATGCTAAAAATTAATATTGCGATAGATGGTTCAGTGGGTTCGGGGAAAACCACTATTGGTCGATTATTAGCCGAAAGGCTAAATTACCAGTTTTTAGATAGTGGTTTGTTGTACCGCCACTTCGCCCTGTTTTACCAGCAAAATAATGCTCCTACAGTTGGGAAAGAAAAATTACTTCAACTTTGAAAGGAGTGGTTAGAAAAGAATAAAGAAAAAACGGTCTCTAATTTAGAAAAAGAACGTCAACAACTTAGTTCACCAACGATTAGTGATTTAGCCTCTCGGTTGTCTCCGCAACCCGAATTGCGGAAAATCATTTTGGAATTTCAACGGAAATTAGTTCGGGAAAAGGGTTGGGTAGTAGTAGGACGGGATATTACTTCCGAAGTTTTGCCAGAGGCTAAAATTAAAGTTTTTCTGACTGCTAGTTTAGAAGAGAGAACCAAACGAAGGAATACCCAATATAAAGAAAAATTAAGTTCTGAGGAAGTGAGAAAGGAATTACAAGAAAGAGATGAGCGAGATAAAGAGAGAAAGATTTCTCCGCTGATAAAAACACCTGATAGTTGGGAATTAGACACTACTCATTTATCTCCACTTGAAAGTGTGGAAAAAATAGTTCAGCAGATAGAGAAAAAATCTCTTTGAAAAAGCAGTTAATAAAAACCAAATCATTTATTTGCTTTCTTAATTTTTTAACTTTCGTTGGCTCAACTGGTTCGACAGTAAGTTAAACCGTTCTAAATATTACAAGGTTAGAATTAAAGTTAGTATTTAACAATTTTAACATCCTTTCTATCAAAGTAATTAGCACAAATATTTTGATAGGTCTTTCTAGTTTAACAGATCTACCGCTTTCTTAATAGCACTTTTCATCCCTCATAGTTTCGTGTTCTGCCTTTCTTTTTTCTCCATATTCTCTTAAAATTAAAAATATAAGTTATTATGGTAAG